AAGGACACAGGGGCCTCATGATCCCCTATTGCCCGGGGGGCCCATGAGTTGTCAGTCCGCCCCTGGGTTACCCTAACTGGCATGAAAAGCCAAACTATTTTTTATTTTTAGTTTTGGGTAGATTAAGGTTACCCCAGGGGCGGACTGACCATTTGGAAACTCAGGCACTGCCCGAGGGCCCGGGGTCAGTAGGGGGCCCCATGAGATGCCCCTGGTACCTTTTTCATAGGCTTTTTTGAGTTTGGGCAAGGACACAGAGGCCCCATGATCCCCTATTGCCCGGGTGCCCCATGAGTTGTCAGTCCGCCCCTGGGTTACCCTAACCTGGCATGAAAAGCCAAACTATTTTTTATTTTTAGTTTTGGGTATATTAATGTTAATACATCCAATAATTTTTTTCAATGATTCATCTGGCTGCCTTGAGGATCTAGAAGTATTTATTTGTCGTTGAAGCAGATTGGCTAATATTTAAGACTTTTTTTTTTTTTTTACCTTCCTCTGGATCAACAATGGCTTATATATTTTTTGTTAACGGTTGAACTCTGTGGACGCTTCTCTTTTTTTCAACCTGTCAATCGACGTAATTACTTCATTATCACGAGGTCCAAGCGGTGAATGCAAACGGTCTACAGGTAAATTGAAATGCAACGCGTATTGAACTGTGTCTATCTCCATTTCACCTCGATTTCACATACGTCTACAAGCGTGTTCCAACCATCTGCTCTAATTCACGGGGAATTCTTTGGCGACGCAATTTTTCAGCTTCAGAATGATAGGAAGCTGTAAAAAGCACAATGTAACCTAATCAAGATGGTGTCGTTGATCGCCATCAGTCTAATGTAAAAGGCAATGAAGATATTCATATATGATAACAAAAAAAAAAATCTATAAAAATGAAATGCAGATGACAAACGGCAATACAACGTTAGGCAAGCAAAACAATATAAACGGATGCACGGGGGCCATGTGCTCACATAAATAAACATCAGATTTTAAGAGGAGTACTTATTCTACTCAGGCAGTTTTCTCCTATTCATCCATTTTATTGTCTGTTCCCAGTGCGGTAACGTGATTGATTTTGGTATTCTATGGGATTATCGACACCTTTTTGATGCCGCGCTTATTATGTGCGAAGCGTGATGCAGAGGCTTTGATTTAGCTATTCAAGATTTATAGCGATGCAGCTGAGATGGTAATTCCGAGCTTCTTTCACATTTATTTTCCTGCGCTGTTCGCTGCAACCTGCATCGCATTACTGGTGAACCCCTAAAAACAAAAATGTCATTTATTGCAGCTTATCGGTTCTAAAATGTGGCGACTGCATTTCTTTTTTTTTTTTCAAGTACGTATGGCATCCCATACAAATTGGTTATTCAACACCTACATAGCTCCTGCTTTACATGATAGCCAAGTGAAACGAAAAGAAAACGCACCGACCTTGCGCATTACCTCAGTAAACTGTGATTTTATTAACCCCTTGGTGCTGGCGCCTCCCGGCTCTTTAACCGCCTCCCGCCCGCCATATAAGGAAATGACGGGCGCAAGGCGGGGGCGCAAGGTGCGGCGATCGGTGGTGCACTGTGTCCCTCGGACACAGCGGATCACCGATCGACGGAAAGAGCTGAAGATGTCGGCTTGGTCATGTGATCAGCTGTGTCCAATCACAGCTGATCGCATGTAAGTAGGGAAATGCCGGTTATCGGCATTTCTCTGCTCACGAGCTGTCATGCTGACAGGAGAGGAGAGCCGGTAATCGGCATTCCTCGTAGGGGACATCTACACTGATCATCAGGGCGCCCTGATAATCAGTGTAGCCCCAGCAGTGCCACCTGTCAGTGCCCATCAATGCCAGCTGTCAGTGCTCATCAATGTCACCTGCCAGTGCCCATCAGTGCACATCAATGCCATATATCAGTGCCCATCTGAGCTGCCTTTCAGTGTCACCTATCAATGCCAGTCAGTGCCACCTATCAGTGCTGCCAATCAGTGCCATCTATCAGTGCTGCCAATCAGTGCCACCTATCAGTGTCAGTCGGTGCCGCCTATCAGGGCCAGTCAGTGCCGACCTATCAGTGCGCATCTATAACAGTGCAAGTCAGTGCCGCCTATCAGTGCCACCTATCAGTGCCATCAGTGATGCCTGTCAATGCCCATCAGTGCCACCTACTACTGCCTCCTCATCAGTGCCTATCAGTGCCACCTACTACTGCCTCCTCATCAGTGCCTATCAGTGCCACCTACTACTGCCTCCTCATCAGTGCCTATCAGTGCCACCTATCAGTGCCCATCAGTGCAGCCTATCAGTGCCCATTACTGCAGCCTCATTAGCGCACATCAGTGAAGGAGAAAAATCACTTATTTACAAACTTTTATAACAAAAACTAAGAAAAAAACATTTTTTTTTCAAAATATTCAGTGGTTTTTGGTTTGTTTAGCAAAAAATAAAAAACCCCGAGGTGATTAAATACCATCAAAAGAAAGCTCTATCTGTCTCAAAAAAAAAAAAACGATACAATTTTCATATGGGTACAGTGTTGCATGACCGCACAATTGTCATTCAAAGAGCAACAGCGCTGAAAGCTGAAAACTGTCCTGGGCAGGAAGGGGGTATAAGTGCCCTGTAGACAAGTGGTTAAGGGTTCCAGGAGGCGGGGCGGGGTTTTAGGGTCATGTGACTGCCGTGATTCGCTGTCACGGCAGTCACATGATCAGGAAAGGTCCCGATCGAAAGAGGAGATCAGAACCTTTCCGTGAGTACCGAACATGTGTGCTGGGAGCGCTCCAGCACATATGTTTTTTTTTTAATAGAACACAAATGTGCGGCTGCTCAGTGTCTAGGCCCAGACGTCGGGAGGCCGCACATTTGCGTTCAGCCGGCGCCAAGAGGTTAAATTGAGAAATATACTCACAAACAGAGAAGTATAACAAGCGTATAGTGTCTACTACGGAGCTTTTGAAGTGTGAGTCCCATCACGAGGGTAGACTCTCAAAGTAAGGCTGACGCGTTTCGTAGGGGGTCCCTTCTTCATCAGAGCTTCACTTTACAGTACTGGTCGGGCCTCCCCAGCCTTGTGTAGAGCCGCACAACCTTGTATGCATTGGTGAACGTATTTTCACAAGTGCTTTTTCCATCCATCCACCCTTGCTCTGGGTCGTAGAACGCAGGAGGTGTTTCTGTTTCCATTTACATGATAGCCTAACATGAGGCATTACAAGTCCATAATTGCTTCTAGTATGCGGTGAAGGACAGGCAAATGCACTTAATGTGTTTCCCAGTATATAGTCACTTCTTCTTCATCTCTCTTTTGGTTGAACTGGATGGACTTGTGTCTTTTTTTTTCAACCAGATTAACTAGGTAAATGGGTGTGGACAGGGTGAGTTTAGTATCATAGTGCCCCCCAAAAGGACCATTGTCAGGACCCAAGAGCTATAAACCAGGCAATCCGTTGGTGGAAGAAGGTGGGTGAGGTCTACTGCAGTTCTTTACATCAATATTAACCCCTTCACGCCTAAGGGTAAAAACAAATCTAAATGCCTAAGCACAATTCTGCACAGTTGACATGTGATAGCAAAACCATACATATCATCACAACTACTTTGCATATCCAGGTGGATTATACCTTGATTTTTTCAGGACAAATTGGGCTTTCATTTGGTGGTAAATGGTAATGGATATCTCCTGATTTTTTTTTTTATTATCAATGGAAAACTGGCCAAAAATAGTAAAAAAAATCCTTTTATTTTAATTTAGCTATGTGTTTCTTGTTATGACCATAACCTACCACCAAAGAGCAACCCAAAAATAAATTCTCCAGCTCTTGACGATCGCAGCGATACCATATATGTGTATGTTATTTGTTGTTTGTACCCGTAGTACAGCCCAGAAACCATAGTGCGCATTTTGTTTTTGTCTTTTTTTTTTTTTTTTTTTTACCTAAAAACACACTGACACCAACTGACATTGACATTAACATTAACTGACACTGATACCAATTTTTTTTTAAATCCTGACCTTGACTTTTGACCCTGACCTTTGACCTTGACCCTGACCTTTGACCTTGACCCTGACCTAAACACTAACCCTGGCACTGAACTAGATCAAACCTTGATCTAGGTATTTTTTTTTTATTTTTTCTTTTATTTTTTTAATATTTATTTATTTATCTTTTTTTTTTTTTTTTTTACAAACTTTTTTTTTTCTTCTCTCTGACAGGAGTTCGAGAGATACAATGTATCTCTCTTCTCCATTCATAGAGAGAGAGAGAAAAAAAACAAGGGGGCCGGGCTGCACAGTGACTGATCACTGTGATAGCCAATCAGAGGCTATCACAGCGATCATGTGACCCGGAATCGAGAGTCCCGGGTCCCGATCGTTAGAACGGGACCCGGTGCTCTCAGTGACACACCGCGGTCTCGGTGCTGGGAGCGCGCTGAGGGGCGCGCTCCCAACACAAAGACAGGTACGCAAATATGCGGCCCCACGGAAAAAAGCCCAGGTCCGTGAGGCCGCATATTTGTGTTACGTCGGCGTCAAGGGGTTTTAAAGCAAAAGTTCTGCAACTAATTGGAGCCTTTTTAGTAGACGGATGGCCATGCTGTGCTCTCCATCATCGGACACTGAGCTTGCTATAGTAGACCATAGTAGTAGTAGGCAATTGTAGCAGGCAGCATTGATCTCCACTAACTTCTAGGTCCTGTGCTGAGTGCCCTACTGCCTACTGGACACAGAAGGTCACTCGGTCGATACGGGCGCCATTCGGAAAAAAAAACTTTCATTTTCTCAATAAGAAAGTTTGGCAGTGCCTGTATGTGTTGTTGGCACGGTGTGATATGTCTGTGAATGTTCTCACTTGCCTAAGTTGGGGTATAGCTTAGCCTTTTGCAACTTTTTTTTACCCAAGAGCAACCCTTGAAATAATTTTTAAGTCTCAGGGAACACCTGCTAAAATCAGGGGTCGATGGGAAGAATGCATCTTTACATTGGTGGTCAATGGGAAGAATGTTCCTTACATTGGTGGCCAGTGGGAACAATGCTCCTTACATTGGTGGTCAATGGGAAGCATGTTCCTTACATTGATGGTCAATGGGAAGAATGTCCCTTACATTGGTGATCAGTGGGAAGAATGTTCCTTACATTGGTGGTCAATGGGAAGAATGTCCCTTACATTGGTGATCAGTGGGAAGAATGTTCCTTACATTAGTGATCAGTGGGAAAAATGTTCCTTACATTGGTGGTCAGTGGGAAGAATGTCCCTTACATTGGGATCAGTGGGAAGAATGTTCCTTACATTGGTGAGTCAGTGGGAAGAATGTTCCTTACATTGGTGGTCAATGGGAAGAATGCCCCTTACATTGGTGATCAGTGGGAAGATGTTCCTTACATTGGTGGTCAGTGGGAAGAATGTTCCTTACATTGGTGGTCAATGGGAAGAACGTCCCTTACATGGTGTGGGAAGAATGTTCTTACAATGGGTCAAAGAATGTTCCTTACATTGGTGGTCAATGGGAAAAAAAAAGCTGCTTACTTTGGTAGTAAGTGGAAAGAATGTTCCTTACATTGGTGGTTGGTGAGAAGAATGCTCCTTACAGTGGAAGTCAATGGGAAAATGCCCTTACATTGGCAGTCAATAGGAAGAATGTCCCTTACATTGGAGGTCAATAGGAAGAATGTCCCTTACATTGGTGGTCAGTGGGAAGAATGTCCCTTACATTGATGATCTGTGGGATGAACGTCCCTTACATTGATGATCAGTGGGAAGAATGTTCCTTACATTGGTGTCCAGTGGGAAGAATGCTCCTTACATTGGAGATCAATGGGAAAATACCGCTTACATTGGCTTTCCATGGGAAAAATGCCCTTTACAATTGGTGGTCAATAGGAAGAATGTCCCTTACATTTGTATTTAGTGGGAAGAAAGTTCCTTACCTTGGTGGTCAAGTGGGAAGAATGCCCCTTACATTGATGGTCAGTGGGAAGAATGCTCCTTACATTGGTGGTCAGTGGGAAGAATGCCCCTTACATTGGTGGTCAGTGGGAAGAAGGTTCCTTACATTGGGGGTCAAGTGGGAATAATGCCCCTACATTGGTGATCAGTGGGACGAATGCTCCTTACATTAGTGGTCAGTGGGAAGAGTGTTCCTTACATTGGTGGTCAGTGGGAAGAATGCTCCTTACATTGGTGATCAGTGGGAAGAATGTCCCTTACATTCATGGTTAGTAGGAAGAATGTTCCTTATATTGGGGGTCAAGTGGGAAGAATCCCCCTTATATCAGTGGTCAATGAGAAGAATAATCTTTACGTTAGTGCTTGGTGAGAAGAAAGCTTCTTACACTGGAGGTCAATGCTAAAAATGCCCCTTACATTGGTGGTCAATGGGTAGAATGCTCCCTCTTTTGGTGGTCAATTGGAAGAAAGCCTTTCTTACAGTGGTGGTCAGAATATCTCCCTTACAGGCACAAAAAAAAAGATAAATGGTGTCATGCAGCTGGTTCTGCCAAGTGTCATTGGCCCTGGATATATGCAGTCACCATAAAGTTGGAGGTCAATCAACCACAGTTCAAGGAACCCCTAGCAACCTCTGGAGGAACCCTAAGATTCCAAAGAACCCTGGTTGAGAATGGCTGTGTAGCTAGTCGTGATAGGGGTAGGGAGCAATGTTAGGACTCACAACCCACCAAAGAACCAAAGAGTTAGATATCATACATCACCTTTTGCACGAAAATTTGGTCGGAATTTTCTATTTGTGGTAATAGTTCTCTAAATATGGAGAATACCATAGAATAAAAGTTTAGCAATAACCACTCATGAAAACTTTTATTTCAGTGTAAACTTGTAACAAGCTTTGTGTCGCTGCGTACATTTGTGTCTTTATATTACGGGTATATTCTGACCCGCTGCTTCCTCCACGAGAGCCGGCCCGCCAATAATGGGTTTGGAACCGGTAGAGATTCACAAAGCTTGCATGCTAGGCGCTGTGTAATCATTGTGCTCAGCAGATGCTTGTTGCCTGAGACATTTTGTATAAGCAATTCAATACCATTTAAGGTTTCATGGCTGCACTTCTATCAATGCCTTATAATAACAGGCTTCATCTTTTCATTGCCGGCTCTTTCTATTGACACCACCCGTTGTGTGCCTACAAACCACAAGATTAACAATTGAATGTTGTAAAACCTTGATGATTATACGCTTCTAGAGTTATGATACAGTCCAAGATAAAAACGTTGTTGAAGACTGTATATTTATTAGTTAGAAAAGGGGTAATTTATTGACATGGCACGTAGGGATAAATCACCAAATGACCCTGACAATCAGTTGCGATCACTTAATTTTTTTATTTTCTTTGCAAACAATGGATAATTAGAGTAAGGATGTCTTAGGCATGGGCACAGGCACAATGAATGATCACCGTATCATGAGTATCTCCTATCATATCAGTGGGAGGGGCTCTTGATCATGTGATCACTGTGACAGCCAATCCCAGAGGTCATATGATCAGGAACTCCATCTCTGCCTTCCATCATTTACAACCTCTTAAAGAGCTGGCAGGAGGTGGTGGCAAGGGGGTTAAAGGGAACTTGTCATGTAGAATCAACCCTTAGGCAAACTAAACCTTGGAAGCTATATCCAAAAGAAGATAGACCAACGGCAAAGGTCACCGGTATTGCCTGTGGTCTCTCTGCAGTTGATCTTTTTCCATTACTGACTTACCATCATTTATTTTGTCTTGTGTCTTTATATGGATGGAGGCGGCCATCTTGCTAGAGGTCAGACTTTACTTTCCCATGTCAGAGCCTCCAACAAGGAGAGCAAAGAGCAACATCACCAAATCTCACTCTAAGTCTCCTGAGACTGGCTGTCAGAGGCAGCAGTACCCTGGATCTCACACGGCAGATTTTCAGCTATAAGGCTAAAGATAGACAACTCACCTGCTAATTTTTAGGAGGAATACTAGACAAAAGGTACATTTTCATGGCATTGCTTAGACACAATTAACATTTTTGCTTACTGTCCATCCAATGGGACAAAGCAGTTAAGAGTCTGATATCTACATCCCCCCCCCTTATCTTTTTGACTAAATAAACCACAAAAAAACATACTTACAAGTACTGCTTAGACCTGAAGAAGGAGACATTCCCCGAAAGCTTGTCCTCAAAATTGTATGTTAGTGCAAATAAAAAAAGTATCACGGACAGTACTCAATTGTTCCTGTTTCATGTCTAGCAACCCAGTGAAATTCTGTACGGATCCACCATGCTGCACCTCGGGTCCCATCTTCTTCTGTGACGTTATCAGGAGGCCAGCTGTCTCTTTTGGGTACTTGCGAATGGCACCCTGGTAGCATTGCCTACATCAAGAGGCTGGCTACAGGACCTTGGAAGAGGCAGCTGGCCCCTAGATAATGTCACAGAAGAAGATGGGGCCTGAAAGAGACAGCTGGTCCTCTGATAGCTTTACAGAAGATGATGGAACCTGAAAGAGACAACTGACCCCCTGATAATGTCACAAAGAAAGACCCCCAGATAACATCACAGAAGAAGCTAGGACCTAGAAGAGACAGATAACTCCAAGATAACATCACAAAAGAAGACGGGACCTAGAAGAGACAGTTGGCCCCCTGATAAATTCACAGAAGAAGATGGGACCTGGAGGAGACAGATGGCCCCCTGATAACATCAAAAAAGAAGATGGGACCTAGAAGAGACAACTAATCACCTTATAATGTCCCAGAAGAAGACTGGATCTGGAAGAAGCAGCTGGCCCCGTGATAACATCACATTAGAAGATGGGACCTGGAAGAGTCAGCTGGCACACTGACAACATCACAGTAGAAGACGGAACCTGGAAGAGACAGCTGGCACCCTGATAGCATCACAGAAGAGGACAGGACCTGGAAGAGACAGCTGGCTACCCGATAACAACACAGAAGAAGATGGGACCTAGAAGAGACAGCTGGCACCCTGATAGCATCACAGAAGAGGACAGGACCTGGAAGAGACAGCTGGCTACCCGATAACAACACAGAAGAACATGGGACCTGAAAGAGGCAGCTGGTCCCCTAATAATGTCACAGAAAAAGACAGGAGCTAGACAAGACAACTGGTCCCCTGATAGTGTCACAGAAGAAGACAGGAGCTGGAAGAGACAGCTGGCCCTCTGATAGCATCATTACTGAAGACAGGACCTGGAACAGCTGGTCCCTAGGAAATCACAAAAGAAGATGGGATCTAGAAGAGACAGTGGGCTTCTTGATAACATCTCAGAATAATACAGGACCTAGAAGAGAAAGTTGGCCCCCCTGATAAGATCAGAGAATAAGATGGGACCTAGAAGAGACTGTTGGACCAAAGATAACATCACAGAAGACGAAGTGACCTAGAAGAGACAGTTGACCCCCCTAGAAGAGACAGTTGAGCCCCCCTGATATAATCGCAGAAGATGGGACCTGAAAGAGACAGCTGCCCCCCCCTGATAACATCATAGTAGAAGATGGGGAACATCATAGGAAGAGGCAGCTGGCACACTGACAACATCACAGTAGAAGATGGGACCTGGAAGAGACAGCTGGCCCCCTGATAGCTTCAAAGAAGAAGATGAGACCTGGAAGAGAGAGCTGACCCCTTGATAACATCACAAAAGATGATGGGACCTGGAAGAAACAACTGGCCCCCTGATAATGTCACCTGAAGGAGACAGCTTGCCCCCTGATAAAAACACAGAAGATGACAGGACATGGAAAAGACAGTTGGCCCCTGATAACATCACAGAAGAAGATGTGACCTGGATAGACAGCTAATCCCCTGATAATGTCTCAGAAACAGACAAGACTTGGAAGTGGCAGCTGGCCCCATGATAACATCACAGTAGAAGACGGGGCCTAGAAGAGACAGTTGGCCCTCTGATAAAATCACAAAAGAAGACGGAACCTGGAAGAGACAGTTGGCCTCCTGATAAAGTCAAAGAAGAATGCGAGACCCGGAAGAGACAGCTGGCCCTCTGATAACATCCTAAAATAAGACGGGAAATAGAAGAAAAAGTTGGCCCACTGATAAGGTCACAGAAGTTGGGATCTAGAAGAGACAGTTGACCCCCTGATAACATCAAAGAAGAAGACTGGACCTAGAAGAGGCAGGTACACTCCTGACAGCATCACAGAAAAGGACAGGACCTGGAGGAGACAGCTGGCCCCTGATAATACCACAGAAGGAGTCAGGACCTAGAAGAGACAGCTGGTCCCCTGATAACGTCACAGAAGAAAACTGGACCAAAAAGAGACAGGTACCCCCCTGATAAAGTCACAGCAGAAGATAGGACCTGGAAGAGATAGCTGGACCCCTGATAACATCACAGAAGACAGGACCTGAAAGAGACAGCTGGCCTCCTGATGAAGTCACAGAAGAAGATAGGACCTGGAAGAGACAGTGGGCCTCCTTAAAAAGTCACAGAAGAAGACAGGACCCGGAAGAGACAACTGACCCCCTGATAACATCACAGAAGAAGACTGGACCAAGAAGAGACAGGTACCCTCTGGATAAACTCACAGAAGACAGGACCTAGAAGAGATAGCTGACCCCCTGATAACATCACAGAAGACGGGACCTGAAAGAGACAGCTGACCCCCTGATAACATCACAGAAGAAGACAGGACCTAGAAGAGACAGTTGGCCTCCTGATAAAGTCACAGAAGACGGAGCCAAGAAAGGAACAGTTGGCCTCCTGATAATGTCACAGAAGAAGATGGGACCTAGAAGAAACAGTTGGCCTCCTGATAATGTCACAGAAGAAGCCAGGACTAGGAAGAGACAGCTGGCCCCCTGATAACATCACAGAAGATGGACCTGGAAGAGACAGCTGGCCCCCTGATAACATCACAGAAGATGGACCTGGAAGAGACAGCTGACCCCCTGATAACATCACATAGAAGACGAACAGTAAGCAAACAGCATTAACCTGATTCAGCAGGTCCTGATTTTTCATTAGCCACTCTTCATAAATGTTTCCCCCGTCTCATAATCCT